TATTTTTAGTTGTCCAGATAATTTCTTTCTATTTTTAGTAGAGACGGGGTCTCACTCTTGTTCAGGCTGGTCTCGAACTCCTGACCTTGAGCGATCCACCTGCCTCGGCCTTCCAGAGTGCTAGGATTACAGGCGTGAGCCACCACGCCCGGCCTGCCTATTAACTTTTTAATGGTAAATTTTGCAATATCAAAGTTTTTCGTTTTGGTATGATCAAATTATCTTTCATTGTTTATATAGTTAGTCTTGGTTAAAAAATCCCATTCCTAGATAGTACATATAGTCCTGGTTTTCCTTTCACTTAATTCATTGATACATACATTATAGAATTTAGTTTTAATATGGTATGAGATATAGGAATCCAGATTTATTCCTTTCCAAATGGGCTGCCAGTTGTGTCAGTATTATGTATTAAATAATCCATCCTTTCTCTACTAAATAGAACTACTATTTGTCATATGTTAAAATTATATATATACAGATGCTCCTTGACTTACAGTGGAGTTATGTCTCAATAAACTCCCATCCTAAATTGAAAATATCTAAGTAAAAAATGCATCCAATGCTAGCAACACAGCAGAATCCCCAACTTACCATGGTTCAACTTACAATTTTTCGACTTTATAGTAGTGTAAAAGCAATTCTCAACTTACGATGGGGTTACATCCTGATAAACCCATCATAAGGTCAGAAAAAATAAGTCAAACCATTGTAAGTCAGGAACCATCTGGACTAGCAACTATTACTCTCTTTATTACTCCCTTCTGTTCTACTATTCTTACTTTTTAAAAACATTTTTTGATACCACTATACAAACAAGGATGTTCCTATTTTTAAATATATATTTGCAGGCAGTTATTCTTCCATTTCAACTTTAAGATAGTTTTATTTACCACCGATCCAAAGGCTCTGACAGGTACCTAGTAAAGTTTTTCTCTCTCTAACCTTTATACCTTTCTTACATATTCATAGGCAGTTATTCCTCCACATAAACTTTAAGATAATTTCACTCAATTCTAATCCCAATAGGGATTCTAACTGGAATTGCATTATGTTTTTGAGAGAATTGACATTTTCAGTAATATTGTCTTTTTAATATTGCAAAAGTCTTCTCATTCAAGAATATGATTTGTCATTCCATTTTTCAATGTTTTTGCTCTTTAATAAAATTCTATAGTTTTATTAACTATAGAATAGTTTTTCATTCTTATTAAATTTATTATCATTTGCCTCTACCATGAATAGACTATTTTTCTTATTTCAATTTCTTTCTTTGTTGATAGACAAAAGCTATTGAATTTTGCATGTTTGTTTTATATCTACCTACTTTACAAAGTTCTCATATTTATTCTACAGTAGATGTTTTTTATTTAGTGACTCGTGTGTTTTCTAATTATACAATAATACCACCAGTTACCACACCCCCCCAAAAAGAGTTCATCTGTTCTTTTCCAGTGTTTATATCTGTTTTTTAAATTTTCTTATCTTGTTAATATCTTATTAAATTAATTTGAACTTCTGAGACTCTGTTAAATAATAATGGTGACAGTGAGCATTCCCATCTAGATCCTGATTTTAATTGAAATTATTTGGTGTCTGGCCACTGGGAATTATATTTAGTATTTGTTTTTTGGTAAATATTCTTTATTTTCTTCTATTGCTATTTTACTTAGATGTTTTATTAGAAGTGCTTTTGGATTTTGACAAATGCTTTTTTAGCATCTATTGATGTACAGTATGTATTTCTTAATAATGGGGATACATTCTGAAAAATGCATCATTGGACGATTTCATCATTGTGGGAACATCATAGAGTGTACTTACACAAACTTAGATTATATAGCCTACTATACACCTAGGCTATATGCTCCTAGGTACAAACCTGTACAGCATGTTACTGTACTGTATACTGTAGGCAATTGTAACACAATGTTATTTGTGTATCTAAACATATCTAAACAAAGAAAAGGTACTGTAAAAATACAATATAAAAGATAAAAAAAAAAGATACATCTGTATAGGGTACCTACAGTGAATGGAGCATGCAGGACTAGAAGTTGCACTGTGTGAGTCAGTGAGTGAGTTGTGAGTGAATGGGAAGGTTTAGGACATTACAGTACACTACTGTAAACTTTAGAAGCTCTGTGCACTTAGGCTACACTAAATTTATTGAAAAATATTTTTCTTTCTCTAATAAGTTAACCTTAGCTTACTGTAACATTTTTTACTTTATAAACCTTTAAAATTTCTTTTTAATTTTTTTTTATTTCAGCATATTACAGGGGTACAAATGTTTAGGTTACATATATTGTCTTTGCCCCCCCAAGTCAGAGCTTTAAGCGTCTCCATCCCCCAGACGGTGCACACCGCACCCGTTAGGTGTGTATATATCCATCCCCTCCTCCCCCCTCCCATCTGCCTGACACCCAGTGAATGTTATTACTATATGTCGACTTAAGTGTTGATCAGTTAATACCGATTTGATGGTGAGTACATGTGGTGCTTGTTTTTCCATTCTTGGGATACTTCACTTAGTAGAATGGGCTCCAGCTCTATCCAGGATAATAACAAGCGGTGCTATATCACCATTGTTTTTTGTGGCTGAGTAGTATCTCCAGTGAGAATGGCCTTTATCAAAAAGTCCCAAAACAATAAATGTTGGTGTGGATGCGGAGAGATAGGAATACTCATATACTGCTGGTGGGACTGCAAACTAGTGCAACCTCTGTGGAAAGTAATATGGAGATATCTCAAAGAGCTACAAGTAGAACTACCATTTGCTCCAGCAATCCCATTACTGGGCATCTACCCAAAACTTTTAAGATTTTTAATAAACCTTTTGACTCTGTAATAACACTTAGCTTAAAACACAAACACACTGTACAGTTGTACAAAAATAGTTTTCCTTTATATACTTATTCTATACATTAGGCTAGGCCTACACAGGGTTACGGTCATAGATATCACTGCCTTCCATCTCCATGTGTTGTCCCACTGGAAGGTCTCCAGGGGCAATAACATTCATGGAACTATCCTCTTATGATAACAATGCCTTCCTCTGGGATAATTCCTGAAGGACCTGCCAGAGGCTGCTTTATAGTTAATTTTTTTTTTAACAAGTAGAAGGAATACACTGTAAAATAACAATTAAAGTATAATATAGTAAGTACATAACCAGTCCCATAGTCGTTTATTATCATTATCAAGTATCATTATTATACTGTACAGAATTATATATGCTATACTTTTATAAGATTGGCAGAGCAGTAGGTTTGTTTACTCTAGCATCACCACAAACATGTCAGTAATGTGTTATGATATGATGGCTACAATGTCACTTAGGTGACAGGAATTTTTCAGGTCCATTATAATCTTATGAAACCACTGTCACATATGCAGTCCATTGCCCAAAACATTGTTATGCAGCGCATGAGTGTAATAGCACATTTTTTTGTCCTTTAACCAACTTGTAAAATAGATTGGTGTTGATAATTTCCTAATAGTAAAGCACCTTTGCTTGCATGGCATAAACCCTACATTATTTCCCTTTATATATATTGTTTACTACATGATTATATTTTATTTATAAATTTAGC